TTTCGAAGAAGAACGAACTTCAACAAACATTGCTCGTAAAAGAAAGAAACAAAACGAGGTTGTTTGGTTTAAAAAAATAGAATTACTTGACATCCCGAAAAAAAAAAACAAGAATTATTATTTGAAATAAGAACGGGTTGTAATTGTTGTCGAAAAAAAATAAAAACGAGGTATTTTCGAAGAAGAACAAAATTCAACAAACATTGCTCGTAAAAGAAAGAAGTAAAACGAGGTTGTTTAGTTTTAAAAAATAGAAATAACTTGACAACACGCAAAAAAATAAACAGAAGTGATTGTTTGTAATAAGAACGACATGCAATTATTGTCGAAAAAAAAAATGAGTTATTTTCAAAGAAGAACGAACGTTAATAAACATTGCTCGTAAAAGAAATAAGTAAAACGAGTTTGGTTTAGAAAAACTGAAATAACTTGACAACTCCAAAAAAGAAGAAGCAATTATTTGAAATAAGGACGAGTTGCAATTGTTGTCGAGAATAAATATAAATTAAAACGAGATATTTTCGAAGAAGAACGAACTTCAACAACATTGCTCGTAAAAGAAAGAAGTATTTTCTTTTTACTTTTTCATATATGTAATATTTTTTTATATTCTAATTACACTTTTAATAATAAGTGGAAGATAAAAGTTTATTTTTCCTATTACCCTCTAAATTTCTTATATTATTTATTTATTTACAAAGTAATTTTTTGGACAACGTGTGTTGTCACTTCAAAATAAAAGGCTGATGCACTATCTAGAAGTGTGTTCCTTTTGATGCATCCATCTTATCATGATTCCACAATTTTTAATTTTCACTATTTCAAATTTGGATGTTATATTATTGCATCTATCTTATCATGATAGTACTGTTATATTCAATTGTCCACATGTATGCAAATTCTCAACTATAAAACTATGGGTAGCTTTGTGTAAGTCTAAAACATACATCTCCATTTTAGTGTAGAAGTGGTAATGGATAGAAACTCAAATTTATCTCATTTCGATCTGCCTAACTCTTTCGAGGACGATAATCTATCTTCAGTAAATTCTCGTTATCATAGGAGTACACTTCTCGTACTTGGCCAATTTCCTGCAATGCAATTGCAATCTCAATTTCAAAATTTTTCATATCAACCAATTCGTTCGTTTCCTATATTTCAAACTTTAGAACATTATGTCTACCCTCAACAACCAAATGCGATGAACATGAATCAGTCTTAGTATATGTAACGCCTCGTTTATTTAAGTAAAAGCATAGCATGTTCATTTGTGCATTTCATTTCATAGCTCGACCTTGTGTTATTCAAAATCCTCACCAATGGGACCGATGTAGACGAGATATCGTCTAACATCATTAATTTACGATATTTATTTATTTTCTTTCATTATTGGTCCTTTTGTTATTATTCTTTTTATATGTTTAGTATTTAATTGGTAAGAGAAATAATATTAATCTTATTATTGACGTTAGAATTAAAATATTTAGTAAGAGATATTGTCTTGTTGACAAGTTAAGAGTAAAGTTTAAGAACCTTATTTAAATTATTCCTCTTTTCTTTCATTTTTAATTAGAATGTTTTTCTTTTTCTTCTCTTTGGTTATTTTTTTTTTCGTTGCATTGGTCAACGATGACCATATACACGCACAGAGAAGGCACACAACATTTTCCAAATTGAAATTTGTTATTTATAGCAATTTGCCCCGAAATTCTGTTAGCTTAATAAATATATACCCTTCCCTCCAAATCCTCTGCCATCATCAATATTTTCAGATCTTAATAGAACTGTGAATCTATAACTAGCCTCAGTTTTCTCATATTCGTCTCGGAAGCCAAGAAATCTGCAAACCGCACAAACTTTCATCTTCAATCGGCCGCTGCAAGATTCCATTGAGTTCTTCTGTGTCTGCTAATTGGAGACGATAGAATGGACGAAGTCAGAGATAAAATGAAGGGTCTGATGAAGAAAGTCAACAAACCGTTCTCCAATTCAACGTCGGGAAAATTCAAGGGCCAGGGAAGAGTCTTGGGATCTTCGTCGTCTTCTTCAACCATTCACTCCCACTCATTATCGTCTTCATCGTCTTTGCTTAATCCCAATCCTTTACCCGCCAAGCCTTCGCCTCCGCCTCCGCCTCAAAAGGTTAGCGATACATCTCATCAGAAACCGCAGACAAGAAACCTCGAGAAGCCGCCGAAATTGGAATCAAGCGAGCAGCCGGAAAACAAATTCGATCCCTTCAATTCTCTGATTACTTCCGGTAAGCGGAACCCTAATGGGTATTCTTTGCAAGTGTTTGAGTGTCCGGTCTGTGGTAAAGCGTATACCTCAGAGGAGGAGGTTTCTATCCACATCGAATCTTGTTTGAGTACGGTGAATTCTGAAAACGAAAGTAGCACTGAAAGATCGGATGGGCTTACGAATCAACTGGAGAACTGTGTGAGTTCTTATATATCCGGGAAGCCGAGCGATAGTTCGAAGGAGGTTGTGTTGAGACTTTTGAAGAATGTGGTGAGAGAGCCGGATAATGCAAAGTTTAGGAAGATAAGAATGGGAAATCCAAAGATAAAGGAGGCAGTTGGGGATGCTCCTGGGGGAATAGAGTTACTAGAGTGTGTTGGGTTTGATCTTAGAGAGGAAAATGGGGAAATGTGGCTCGTTATGGATGATCCTTGTAGAGAGAATCTCGGTTTGGTTGAAAACGTGATATCATTGCTAGACCCAAACAGTGTTGAAGGGTTGCCGCCGGTTGCTGTGAAGAAGGTAGAACAGTTGTTGGTTGCTCCAGCTAAGATTGAGGAAGAACCTATTGAGCCGAAGCAAGTTGACCGACAGGTATATGTTGTCTCTGTTCATCATTGATATTTTTGGCCTAGACAGGTTCTCATTATAAGCTAGCTGTTTGATTGATAACGGTTGGAATCTGTTGTTTGCTATTGTAATTTATATCATGAGTTTCTCGGGTTTAAAGATAAATTGGTGAGTCTTTTTTCTTTTTTTTTTTTCTTCTTCTTATTTTTAATATTGGTTGGTTGCATTCAGGTGGATTAGGATTAAATGCCTGCAGATTGGTTTATCATGTGGGTATTTGTTGCATGGATGCAGAGTCTGTTTTCTGTTAATCAGATTAACAATGGTGGAATATTTTCATAGATGCTAATAGTTTTCTTTGTACTAGAACATAATAGAAACCTGTGAAAGTACAATAGAATTAGGTCCATAGTGTAGTGAAACAACTTCGAAGAAGTATTTTCATTCATCAGTTCACACATTATAGAACTATTTGTTTGTCAATTTTTTTTAATGTACTACATAGCTAACTGGGAAACTGTTGTAGACTTGTCTTCTTTTGATCAAATGTTGAGCATGTGATGCTCTTCTTTTTCGTGGTTTATGGGCGCATCCGTAGCATGCATCTAAAATGCCTGTAGCTGTTCTTTTTTCTTTTTTCTTTTTTTCTTTTTTGTAACATAGAATGTAATTTTCCTTCCTCGTATTACTAAGAATGTGTGCCGCCATGATAAGATAGGTATAGGAAAATCTTTAAAGAACATGAAAAGTTGAGAGCTACATTTTCTGCTCGTTCACGTGAGCATCCAATAGAAAAGTTAATGTCTACTTCCTTAAGCTGTTCTAGAACCCTGCGTCACTGGATATGAAGGAAATGTCTGTTCTGTCTCTTTGTATTTAAGAGTTTGAAAATTAGGAAAGAGAATAAGAGTGATTGAATATGATGGAAGTGTAACAATGGTTATGTGTGTGATGGTTTTCTGAGATAAGATGGTGATTAGATGTGACTGGTGATTAGTGAATTGTTTTGAGGCGAATTAAGTATGTTTATGGCAGTTGCTATGATGTGTTATTTAGTTCTATTTTATTGAATTACATCGACGGTTCATAAATATCAAACTGATTTCATAGTACCTTTATGGCTAGAAGTTTTTAAGTAAATGATTTTTGTGGGAGAGGGTCTATTTGTAAGATGGCATTCACTATAGTTCCCATGAGCTAGTACAGTGTAATTTAGTTTTTTCTCTTTCCCTTTTTAAAAAGACATCAAGTGTGCTTAGAAATGTTAATCTAAATTATGAAAGTTACCTCTTGCATTCTCCACTTCATTTTTTTAATTACTTCACTGTTAGTATTTGTGTTTGGATTTGAAAACACTAATCTATTACGGTCATGTAACATGACATGGCCTAATTTCTCTTTATTTCTGAGATTAGAAGAATCCCCCTGCTCATTCTTCTAAAATTTTAGGTTCTGTGTTGAATGTTATTCTTTAAGCAAGAAAAAGCCGACTAGCATATAAATGGGAAAAGTATTGAAACATGTGATGCCTTGTTGTAACATCATCCTATTGTTATTCATTTCAATATTTCGTGGTTATTTTGAATTTCATGATTTTCTTATGATTGTGTTAGCTTTTATTTGACGGATAACTATCAAAAGGTGTTGTGTGAGTATTTTTTTGATCAGAGCAGTCTCATCTCGTTGCACTATAGTCTTCGCTAGTTGTGCAATTCCTCAGAAGGTCTTTCCAGGGTTTCTATTGAATGTGAAACTGGTTGTAGATGCTCTTGGATAGCTTCATTAAGGATATAAATCGACAAAACTCATAAACTAGACATACATTTCTAACGGTTGTTCCAGAGTAACAAAAATGTCATGTTTTATGATACAATCTAGAAATGCATTTCAATGATGTGGAACGAAAGCAATTGTTTTACCATATCAATTCCTTTGCTTCACTATTTCACTGATAAATCCCAAAAATATTTGCATCTTTTACTCGGCAAGGGAAATGTCAAGACATTTTATTTGTCCACCTTAGCATGTTTGTTTATGGAAATTTTTTGTTTTGTTTGGATTTTTTGGTTTCGTTTGGTTAATTTTGAAAAAAGTGGTATGGTTAGTTGTTAGTGGGTATATTAAAATAATATTTTAAAAAAAAATTGATTTGATGTAAAAGTAAGAGATAGATGATTGAAGTGATGGTTAGTTAAAATAATGTGAGTGGATGAATAGTGAATTAAGGTTGATGTGGTGTGTATGAATGATTCATTGATATTATTTAATTATATTAATAATATTGATGATAGTGGGGTTGAGTTAAAATTGAGTTAAAAAAAGTGGTTGAGTTAAAATGTTGAAATTTTTTGGAAAAAATTCCATAAAAAACATGTTAAGATCTGTGTTTAGTTTGTGAGCTAGCAGTTTTTGGAATCTCGATGTCATTGAAAGTAATGTAGTCAAGAAAGATATTATCATGAGTGCCTAAAATCTTTTCAATACAGCTTATGTTTTCAAATATGCATCTATGGGAAGAATCAACCCTTCCAATTTTGATTACTGGATGCTGTATGAAATGTTTGGTTTGGGATGCTCCAAGAAATTATTGTTTGTTCAGTATTCTTTTATTGTCATCTCTTTTGGAAGTTAAGCTTGGATTTATAATTTATGTTTATGGTTGAAAAGTTACCAATGCTTGTACATAGTCTTTAATGTCTCTGAAATTTTCCTTCTTTCTAATTAGGTAGACTTCTTTTCTGTTGCCTTTTTTCTTTGTTATTTTCTAATATTTTCCTGAACCTTCAATGTTTCTTCTCCTTATATTCGATTATTTTTGTCTGAATGAATTTAGATTCGAGTTTTCTTCTCTGTCCCTGAGAGTGTCGCTGCAAAGATCGAGCTGCCTGATTCTTTCTATAACCTTACGGCTGAAGAACTGAAAAGGGAAACTGATACAAGAAAGAAGAAGTTGGAAGAATCTAAGCTTCTAATTCCTAAGTCCTACAGAGAAAAACAGGCAAAAGCTGCAAAAAGACGTTATAAGAAGACTGTGATTAGAATACAGTTTCCTGATGGAGTTGTACTTCAAGCTATCTTTTCACCGTTTGAGTCTACTGGAGCTATCTACGAGGTTAGTCTCGTGATGCATATACTGATGGAATTGTATTGACTCATTATTAGGTAACTGAATCCACACAGTTCTCATTTAACCGCGTTAAAAAATAAAATAAAAAAAAAAAACTTTTTGTAGCATGGTTATTAATGAGAGGCAACGCCAAGCACCCAATGATATCCTAGACAACAAAATCCAAATGTACACATTATCTNGAATCTTTAACAAGTATTAACTATAATTGTTGGTACCCTGAGAGTGGAATTACCTTCATTGTGGGGTTTTATTTCAACACTTAGTAGGGCCCTAAATATTTATTGTTTTATATAAATGTACTACGAGATGATCATTATTTTATATAATACTTGAATTATTATTACTATACAAATTTCAAAAGAGTTGAAGAGATTAAGGTGCTTTTAGGTACCAGTGATGCTTCCAGAGAGAGATGTCTGTCCCAAACTTTGTCTTGCATTTCATATACCTATTTACTAAGATGTATATATATTTCAGCTTCTACAACCTTCATAGCTCTTAAATTCCTTTTGTGGATTTCGCTAATTTGATACTTTTTTAGTTCTATTTATTGTTGAATGTTGAAAATTTGTGAACAGTTAGCTAAGTCTACTTTGCACCGAGTCATTTTATGAATTTCAAATTTTTTTCCTCTGATTCAAACAATAGTCTTTCTGAGTATTTGGTAATGTTGGGGGAAAAGTTGGTTAATCCTTGCTATTTAAGTAATTCTCAGAAAGACACAATATTCTTCATGAAAATTTTACCCTCTGCATTTTCTTAGACCTTAATCTAGAAATACATGATTTTTTCGGTATGAGGTAATTAAATTTCTTACACAACAGTTTCTTATAAACCTTAAAGTTGTGACAGAAATGTGACTTTCATAACTTGAACAACTTGCATAATTCTTCTTGTAACCGTGTTGCTTTGTAATGGCATGATACTTATAAGCAACCTCAGCAGGTATATAATGGCCCTCTGAATCTAGTACTCTAATGGCAACTAAGCAAATCTTAAGTGGACATTAATAGAAATCCCCCAAAAAGTTTTCGGCTAGGGAAGTTTCCCTAGTATTCTGAATCATTAAGCGAAATTAGTTATTATGGAAGATATGATTGAGGTTTTATGCCTTAAAATTTCTACTCTGAGTATTTTTTCACATTTAATACCTTCTTTTTGTTCTGAGATTTCGAAGAACAAATAATAAAACCAAAGATATAAGAAATCTAATTTTCCTAAACATCTTATTCCGTCACCAAAACTGAACGGAGTAACTTTACATATATTTCTTCTTGATCCTAACTTCAACGTCCAACATTGACACGTNTTTCTTCTCTCGTTTCCCATGGAATGAACAATTATATAGTCATATCATATGAAATCCCTAAATACGCAATTTATATTTATCTAACACGTTACTCTTAACGATTTTGATTTTGTTAGTTTGTAAGCAATGCACTGAAAGACCCAAGCCTTGAGTTCAACCTTCAACATCCGGATCTAATCAAGCGTCGATTAATCCCTCGTTTTCCCACAAGTGGGGAAAAAGCACCGACACTTGAGGATGAGGATTTGGTGCCCACAGCCCTGATTAAGTTCAGGCCAATCGAGACAGATGATGTTGTTTTTACGGGCCTATGTAATGAGCTTCTTGAAATAAGTGAACCCCTCATGTCTGGTTCAGCTGTTCCTTCGTCTTAATCGAGCTTGGGTCGAGTCAACCTTTGGAGTGTGAAGATCCTACTGAAAATAATCAACTCTTGTTTTGGAATTTTTGATATGATGTATGTTTTGATATTTCACAATCAGGGCCAGGAAATATTGTTCTGGGTCCCGCTTTACAACAGTACATATATTTTACTCTCGTATGGCATATAGTTATGGATTGAGAATCAGTTTTTACGGTTCAGTTTCGCTTTGGATGGTGAAAATTGAAAAGCTTTA